CGAACACCCCGAAGACGGCCAGTGTCGCTCTGCAATCGCGCTATTTGAAACGAGAGCCGCAGCAGAGGAAGTTCGAAACGCCCTCCATGGTAAACTCAACAGTACGGGTGAAGCCAATATGATTGTTGAAATTCTTAACACCCCTCCAGCCTCACTGGTGCGCCGCAATACAATCGATCATGCGTCAACTCGTACCCTGTCAAATTCTACATCCCAAATCAGTGCTCCGTCGGTCTTAACGCGCCAGGCGTCGCTTTTTAATGGTGCTTTCCAGGCTTTCGAAAGAGCAGGGAATCATGAGCTTCCAGCGCCAGAAGGGAATTCCCAACTCACATCTATATTCTCCCCTCAGTCGCCTATCGAAAATTCAGTCAATGACCGCTCTTACGGGTCTGGCAAGATGATGATCAAACAGGATCCGGACGAAGATACCGGTGACTTGCTGAATGACCCTGTTGGGTATGCGCGGAATTGCCCTTCTAATCCGGCAGCTTTGCAGCGACGCTTGACCAACCCCCCAGTCCCGCTATCACATTTTGCCAACCTCTCGTTATCAACAAATGTTAGCAACCCAATGCAGCAATTGAGTGGCGCTCGATCAAACACGAATATTGGAACTCCCACCAGTACAATACCGCCCGGCCTTTCATCCACCATGGTACCAAATCCGGGATACATGCATGCTTCTCAGTACCATCGGGTAAATTACCCACCCGTCAATCCAGCCGATCAAAACCCTCCTTGCAATACTTTATACGTGGGCAATCTCCCACACGATACCTCAGAAGACGAGCTGAAGGCTTTGTTTACCAAACAGCGTGGATACAAACGACTCTGCTTCCGGAATAAGCAGAACGGACCTATGTGCTTCGTTGAATTCGAAGACATTTCTTTTGCGACTAAAGCCCTGCACGAGCTGTACGGATATCAACTTTCCAACAGTGTCAAAGGCGGCATTCGTCTTAGTTTTTCTAAAAACCCGCTTGGGGTTCGCCCAGGGCCTCCCCCCGGGATGAACGCAACACCCAATACTAATGCTGGGAAAACGGCAAGTGGCACAGGAATGCCACTTTTCGCGACTGCGAACACTTTCCCACCTGGATTGGGCATCCCTCCTGGCTTTGCAAATGCGAACAATTCAATCAATCCTATGGCCGGCATCAACATCAATTCTGCGGCCAACAACGCCTTTAATGGGCACTCAACGCCGGGACTCGGAATGAACCCTGGCGCTATTGGGACATCACGTTCGCAAACTCTTAACGGTGGACCCGTTGGTGGAATGGCAGGTCCAAATATGGCAAACATGAACGTCACTGCTTTTTCTGATTTCATGGGCCGATAGATCACCGCATATAAAACGCATCTATATAATGTTTTGCATGTGTGATGAGTACCGGAGCGTCTGGCGTTTTGGAACACTGGACACTTACATGTTAGACCGTCATGCTAGGCTGGCCTTTGCCCCTGTTGATGTTTTCATCCATGTCTCCCCCCCACCTCTTTTTTTTTTACATTTCCTTTACCATTATCAAATTATCGTATTTATTGTTCTTCCGTTAATTCCCACTTTTGTTTTATATTTGCATCGATATATCTTGTTTGTCCCCCTGCTATATTTTGTCATTTTTTCTCGGGGTTATTTGACCACTGCATGGAATCTTGAAGGAAAAGCGGCTATTTTTTTTGTTCGGGATTAGCGAGAAAATGCATACTGTTCTGGCGCATTTTGCTTGTGCGCGCTTGGGTTCTACTAGAACTCGGGAGGACTCATTCTCGTTCTCATTTCCCCCTTTTTCCGTATCCCATTTCCCATTTTGCTTTTTATCTCCCATCCTTTGCGTCTACGTCGCACTACCAACATCATTGCCTCCTTGTGTCCATTTGACCCCTGCCTGTTTTCTGCTTCCCAACTTATTCTTTCCTACGTCTGCTTCATTTATTTTACTTTTTTCTTCTGAATTGTGTTCCCCAGTTTACACGTATTCTCTTCTTTCCACCCATCATTTGAAGCGTGTCGACGATTTTTTTTTTGTGGGGTATTTTTCTTTCACTCCATACTACCTGGATATATATTTTGTGTTCTCTTCGTCCTCCCTTCACTTCCCCCTAAAGAAAAGAAAAAGGAAAAAAGGAAAAGAACCATTTTGATCGATATGCCCATTTGCAAAGCAATCATGATAAGGCGTAGGTATTAAACGATTGTTTTAAGTCCGTTTATTCGTTTGGGAAAATGGGTGCTTGCAGGACTGCCTAAAGGAATGTTTGATGCGGAAACATCTTTCGTGCTGGATTCATGGATATTTTCTTTCCTTTTCGTACACCCATTTTTTCCATTTCCCTGTCATCCCTTGATATTGTTGCTAAAAATCCCTCTGCAATGGTTCGGTGTCTTTTATCTCACATTTTTGCTGGTTAATTGTGTGACCATATCTGTCCTTATCTGTCCAGTTGTATTCCCCTACGACACTTGCTTTTTTATATCTTTCTTTTCTTTTTCTTTTTCCATTCCTTTTTTCCTTTTTATTTGTGTGCGTGTGAGTGTGTAAGTTGCTATTTACGCCTCTCCTGCTGGCGGGCATCCCATTTTATTTATCCTTGTCCCATTCATCTTACCTAGCTTCTTTTCATAATACTTTTGAGAAATCGTTATTATACAATCTTTTCCCCCAAACCCTTACTCACAAATCCCCTTTTTAAGGATTTTCTATACTCGCACCAGTCGCGCCTCTTCATCTTCAATTTTTAAATTCTCGTTTTTGCCGCTGCCCTTCTCTTCATGGAGTCAAGTTCTCGTTAGCAGCTTGGTTATTGTATCGTCTCTCCTGGACAAGTGATTTTCCCTCTAAAGGAAATGGAGTGAGGTACAGAGGGACCTGTGGGATTGTTGATTTCTCCTCCTTCCATATTTTTTTATCTTCGTGTTCATAAATTATGGATCCAGACTACTCATATTTTCAACTTCCGCATAGCTAGGCTTTCTGGCGAAAAATCTATACAGAGATAGGATACATGAAACGTTCTACAGCTACTGTTTTACTCGAATTTATCTGACCATCTTCGGCCTCTCTCTTTAATCAATTTTTTTTTATTTTGCATTAGGCCGCTAACAGAGTCACGCTAACCCACGTGACGTTCGGGCTTCGAAGCAGCGAAAAAAAAAATTGCTGGAACAATTTTTCCCAGACGAAGCTTCTGTCCAACATCGCTGCAACCCGAACTTACAGCCAGCCAAAATGCTCAGATAGCCACTGAGTGTCAATTGCCTGTCTTAATCCCCCCCTCTCGCCTTGTTTGTTGTAGATCGCTCTCTTCAACCCCCCCCCCCCCCCAGGCGAGTTCTATCTCCTCAACAGTCACATTGACATATCGATCACAAACCAAGATGCCTCCTCGGCTGGGGGGCCCTTGCGACGGCTTTCTCACAGCCTCGTATCCAATCCCTCGCCCTCTCAATCACAAGCCTCATTGTCACTCCCCTTCAGAACCCCCGCATCCACATCATCTAACACCACCTGCCAATGCCGACTACAACATGGCGCTGCAGCTTCCCAAGCCCAGGCCGAGCCCCAAAACGACAAAGAAGAAGAAAAGCGACGAAAAGTCCACCTGTGGCTAAAAGGCCCGGGCGCAGTCTTTAAAGACCCAAAACCGGGCAGCACGAACTACATCAACGCCTACAGCAATCAGGGCGTGCTCATCCGTTCCAAGGAGGGCGGCAAAGACACTGATGCGGAAACGCTGGAAGACCTCAGACCATTCCCGCTTAATCCGACGTTTGTGAGCGAGTCGGTGCTCAGTGAGGATTTAAGGAATGAGATCCATAGGCAGGTTGTCGAGTATGGCAAGTCGCCCAGGGAAGTTAGTGTTATGCATGGGGTGGATTTGAAAAGAGTGGCGGCTGTGGTGAGGTTGGTGGAGCTGGAGAAGAAATGGGTTGCAGAGGTATGTATTATTTTTATTATTCTTATTATTCACTTTCATTCTGTTGGTTTCACCCTATTTGCACCATTATTCCCGGACTTTCCTACTCCTTCATATCTTGTCATGATGAGCAAACAAATTCGATTAGTCTTGAAGACTCCTAAATTCCCATTCTGGAGGATGTTTACTTCAAATTTAAATTACAACTCTCTGAATCAAACCCTTCAATTATCTACAATTTTGTGGAGCGTCCTGGCTATATAGCCTTGTTAGAGCAATTGGAATACAGCCTTCTTAACAACAACGTAATAGAACAAACCTCGAGCGATCCCATACGCTCGCGCCGTACACCAAATGATCCCCACTACACCATTAAAAAAATATCCCGAGCGGCCTATTCCCCACGAATCCATAAACGATCTCCCCGTCCACCGACTCACAGAGGCTCAAATTTTCTACCCTGTCTCTGAATCCCGGCAATTCACCCGTGTCGATGCGGGACGCGTCTTCTCTGCTGCACCCGCCCTCCCCCACGCCGCCGCCAACACACCACATAATACCCCCGAAGCCATCGAAAAAACAACGTGCAACCCACACATGATTGAAAAAGTCGGCAAACCAAACGACGAGGAAGAAGTGCTTCAACCCGCAGACTACCGCATCCCACACCCACACCTTGTCGCCTTCGCGCACGACCGGTTCCAGAAACCCGGCGAGTTCCGCGAACACAAGAAACGCTTCGCAGAACGGATTGAGCGGGAAACGGTAGCGCTGAGGAAGCGGCAGGAGGCTGCGAGGGCAAGGGAAGAGGCGAGGATAACCCGAGTCCAACCGGAGGGAAGTCGCTTCGAGTTCCGCTTCAGAGATGCCGTGGTATCCCGCGAGACGACGGGGAAGGATGGCCGTGGAACAACTGCTCCTGGTCGCCGGTATGGTGTGCCTAATTACGAGAGGAAGAGAGGCACGATCAAGATACCCACTAAAGTGGAGGTGTAATATATAATAAAGAAGTCTTTCTTCCTTCTTCTTCTTCTTCTTCTTCTTCTTCTTCTTCCTGTATTCGGGAATTCTGAGCAAGCATTGCCTAATCAGATCTTCAATTGCCTGTACATACAAAATTGTGTGTACTGTATTAAATCATTGTGCGCCCCCTTTGCGCTGTACAATACTTTTTGTGCTTTCTTTCCATTCCTTTCTTATTTTTATTTTTATTTTTTTATTTTTATTTTTATTTTTATTTTTTTTTTTTTTTGTATTGGTATTGATTGGTATTGGCGCCTGTTTCGCAAGCTGATTAGGCTATTGTATTATGATACATTATTTACTATGCATCCATCAAGGACACACCACGCACGGAATCCAAGAGGATGATTGATGATGATTGATGATGATTGATGATGATGATGATGATGATGACCTGGCACCACTTCCCTACTACCGTACCGCCCAATTTTGATTTCTCCCTCAATTAAATATTGCCAATTGTGTTGCCATGTGTGACAAAGTATAATGTTTAAACAATGTACAGAATATATATACGTATAGATATATAGTTTATATATGCCCACGGCATGCACACAATGTTCAAAGAAAAGCAAAGAAGTCCCAGGGGGCAAGGGGTGGGCGATTAATTGATTTAAAAGCGAAAGCCAGAGCTGAAGTTAATGCGAGAAGTATAATAAATAGTACTCCGTATTATATATGTATGTATCAAGAACAGATTCTCACACGACGCACAAAAGTAGATATTGTATAAAAGCCCGAGAATAATAATCGACTATTCACCGCTGCCATGGTTTTTAGCTGCATGATTAAAAAAAAAAAAAAAAAAAAAAAAAAAAAAAAATAAATAAAAAATACAAAGGTAATAATTTATCTCAAATCACGCATGAGGCTACACTCAGGAGACAGTGGGGCATGTCATAGTGCACTGCAATCGCTACAGCACAACAGAGGGGCACTAAGTCACCACGGCAGAATTGACAGAAGATGGCTGCTTGACAACAGGGAGGGCGTCAAGATGCTAACGGGCTGATGGTTTCAGCAGGGCATTCTACAGCAGTTCACATTAGCCCAAACTCTTGAAGAGTACAAAGCCTGGGATTGATAAGACACACTGAGATGCTTGAAGCGCGATTGATGGGGGGGAAGGCTGCAACAGATGTGAATATGAAAGGGGCATGCACAGCAGGTGTGGAAGGGAGGTAACAGCACTGGCTGATCCTTGGTAAAATTACAGAAACATAGACTTCCCGCATACTATATAGGTTAGGCGGTGTAGGAATAAATAAATAAATAAATAAATCTCAAATCACTCTCTTTCGCTTGATAAATTTGGGAAATATATAGATTTATTATTTTTTTTAAAAAAAATATAAATAAATAGCAAAGGTGCAACCCGCCCCGAGAAAAAGGAGGAAAAAGGAGCGTTGCAAAAAAAAAAAGGGGGGGGGAAAGCTTGAGTCTCCCACTTCCCCTCCAACAGGGATTGGATAGATATGTACATAGATAGATGAAGGCAATCAAAACAGGAAAATAACAAGTAAAATCATCCATGACATGATGGGGGCACAAAAAAAAAAAAAAAAAAGAAAGTTGCTCCCAACACCAAACGCCACCACAATCATCAATACAAATGAGAAATGGGAAAAATGAAGGGAAGAAAGAAGGTGGGGAAATACGTGACTGCCAGGAAGTAAAAAAAAAGGAAGGAGGAATTAAGAATGAATAAATTAAATGATACTAACAAAAGGGGGAAAATGTATTTCGCCCTAGCTCCCATTGTCTGTATCTTTCTCATCCCTATATATATATCTCTCTCTGTCTGTCTGTATGTTCGTGTCTGTGAGTGAGTGAGTGAGTGTGTGTGTTTGTGCGTGTGTATGTAGGTACGCTCTTCAACACACACTCGAGAACAAGTCATGGAAATTTCCACGCTCGTTAAATCCTTGAGTTTGTATTCCGATTCACTCGCTTGAAACCGGCTGAATACGTTCCCGCGGTACCTCTCTCACCTGGGCTCGTTGCATCCGGCTTGGAAGTTCTATTAGGAACGCCTGCTGCTGCTGCTGTTATTGCTGCAACTGGGGATGAGGCGCTGTTGGATCCAGACTCTTTCCCAGAAGCAGATAATTGCTTGGTAGGACTGCCAGTGGCGATCGCTGCTCCGTCCCGATTAGCCGAGGCTTCTTCATTGCCCTTATTAGAATTACGGTTGTCGTTGCTACTGCTGCTACTGTTATCGCTGCTGGTCATGACCTTCACGTTGCCGCTCAAGTGGGTGATATTCGATTGTGACTTTCTGCGTTGGAGAGCAACGGCCTCTGACTCTCGGCCGCCGGACGGTTCAAGGGAAGTTGTAGAAGATGTAACCGGCACTGGACCTTCCGGATTTTGTTGCTCGTCGAATTTCCTCCATTTCCTCCATCCCTCGAAGTCAATTAGGGCTTGCATACACCCCCATTCAGTCACTTTCTGTTCTAGCCATACAATATTCACGGGCTATGGTGCGGTTTCAATCGATGTCAGTATGGGGTATTTCACAAGAAATAAGAATGAGTGAGGCAAGGCAAAGACAAAGGGGATGTTTTATAACAGTAGTCCACCTAAAACAAGACGGAAAACAAGGGCATGAATACTCTACCTTGGTCAAAAAATCATTGCAGCCTGCAGCTAATGCCTCATTTCGGTCACTCTGCAAACTGCTCGCCGTCAATGCAACGATGATAACGGGACTTTTAAAGGCCTCTGGATTTTCCAACTTATCTTCCGGCCTCACGGTTTCATGACATCTGTTATCTTTGCCTTCGACCGGCGAGCTCGGTGTTGAGGAAGATGTTGAACCCTTTACCGACTGGCCAGAAACAGTCCTCGAGAATACTCCGATGTTGTTGAGTCGTTCATAGCGCCGTATTTCCTTGGTAGCTTCAAGACCGCTCAAGACCGGAAGTTGGATATCCATTAGGACTAAATGGAACCCGCCGGCTCGCCATTTGTTAACAGCTTCTCGACCATTCATTGCGGTCGACCACCGCACTTTAAGTCGTTTCATGAATGCTTCGAGAAGCCTGAGGTTGATAATGTTGTCCTCCACAATTAATACATTAATGGGAGGGACAGTGCCATCTAGCAGGCTCCCAGGGAGGGAACCATTGTTGCTGCGTGTTTTCGACTTTCGTGATTTTTGAGTTGGGCGAGGGGAAGATGTGCGAACTGGTGGTGCGGTAGTTGTTTTCTGGGGTTGCTCGGGTGAGGGAGCTGGAGGGGTTGACATAGATGGAGGTTGAGAAACAGGAGAGGCTCCATTTATTGTGGCATTGTTAGGATCTATAAAATCAGAGACAACGCAAAAAGTAACAAAATGGAGCAAGTTAGCAATCAGAAAAGAAAGAAAATAACAACAGTTTAATGAAGCCAGCTAGTCGATGAGGTAGGGGGGTTCTGGACGATACCGAGAAGTAGCAGACGTACCTGCCATGTTTTGATTCGGAGACGTAGAAATGACGGTAGGTGAAGATGTATGCTGGCGGCCGTATTTAGGACGAGATTGAAGTTGATGCTGATGCCAGGAACCACGACTCCCCGGCGAAGGAACGGGAGGAAGTTGTCCGGTTGTGATCACGGACATGGAATGAGCGGGAGCATGGTGAGAGCTAGTTGCGCTGGCATTTGAAGCGGAGCCAGAAGCATTGGACTGGGGAATCATAGCCATTGGAGGGAAATACTCTCCGGATTCTCCTGGGTGTAGCTCTTCTGAATGGCAGTAGCCAGGGTTATGCTGTCGGGGGGAGGGTTTTGGTGTTCGGCGTTGGGGAACATCAACGATCAATGCTTCATCCACGGTCTGTCCGCTAGGGTAAAAGTTATCCAAAGTGCGACCCACAGGTTCCTCCGGGCCAAGGACCCGCTCATTGGAGCTCTGTCGACTCGAAGGGTCTCGCGGAATGAGTTTTATAGTGATATCTGGGGGATCGAAAGTGCGGCCAAGGGAATTGTTGTATTTTTTCAAGATAGCATCGCGCAGATCATCCACCAAATCTTCCTCTGTGACCGCAACCAGGGTAGCGGATGAATTGGGCCGCTTAACCCATACCTTTCGGCTGATCATGTCGCGGTGGATGGAGGGGAGGCCGCTGGAGAAGTAATCCCCACCGGCCGACGAAGAGGGTTCAAGGAGTGTGCTGATTAGGCGTTGCTGGGAAGAGGGGACCAGGGACTGGCGACGGACAGCAATGCTGGGGCGGGAAACCGGTTTTGAAGTAGGGGTGAGTTTGGCAGATGCACTAGTAGTCGATAATGGGGTATTGGATCTGCGAGACTCATCAACTATGTTCAGAGACGACGAGGTGGATGTTACCGAGGAGCGAGGGTGGGGTGGACGAGGAGATCGGAAGTGGGAGCCTTTGTCCTTCGAGGAGGCCCTGGATAGGGAGTATGCTTCCAATGGAAGAAGTGGCAGGCGGTCTTCTGTTGAGTCTGGAGCCCGCGAGCTGCTCGACGAAGAGCGGGCAGACGAATCTGCGTCGAGTCCCCCTTCTCTGGCAGTGGTATGCTGGAAACTGACAGCTGGGAATTGGTCGACGTGCTCGGCTATCTCTTCGTTGTCTCTAGACTTCGTAAGTAAAGGGTGCTGTTCATTGGCTTTGGCTGAATCGATTGGAACTGCTTGATCCGTACTGTGCAGTCTCCTTGCGGTTAACGGGGAGAGGCGGTTGGAGTTATCATCTGTTGGGCTGATGGGCGAGGAGCAGGGCGAGGCAGAGAAGCAACAATTTATGGCGGCGGTAGATCCAGAGGAAGGAGAAGCACCGACTGCAGCAGCATGGGCATTGGGGTTGACATTGACCGCTGTGGTGGTGCTGGTGGTGCTGCTGGTGGTGCTGGCGGTGGTGCTGGCGGTGGTGCTGGCGGTGGTGCTGGCGGTGGTGCTGGGGCTGGGCAAGTTGGGCACAACAAAGTTTGCGGAAGACGAGGAAGGCCGACGGAGTAGTTTGGCTGTCAACCGCGACAGTCGACGCTCTCGATCCATGGGCGTGGTATCAGCTACCCGCAGTAGACAGCTGGGACCTCGCTGGCAGACACGGCAGCCGGCTGGGTTCCTCTAGCACATCGTACGTACGTCTGTATGTCTGTATGTCTGTATCGATGTTCTGTGTGTATGTTTATATGTGAACCTCCAGATGTTTACAACGTGGGGGAGAGAAGAAGGGTTTGTGAGCATCGCGGGATTTCGTCCCGTCAGGGCTTAGCAGCCGGACAGGGTCAGAGCAGTTCTCGCAGAGGGCAAGCTAACTTGGCTAAGGGGGGCCATCGCATCGACTAGCCCCAGAGCTAGCGATGGTGGAGATGCTGTAAATAGCGGGCAGAAGAAGATGGTCAGGCACCTCGAGACACAGCGCCGACTCGGTCACGGGCAGCAGCATCGCGTGGCCACCTCTCCAATAGCTGGTTACTCCGTGCTGTTTATTGAATGAATATTGGAGTCCAGAGCAGGTACCGGAGAGCGAAACTGCTGTGCGTGTGTCCGCGATGCTTACTTCTACTGCTGTGGGGAGTTGGAACTATACGATGGCAACTCCCACACAACTGAAATGAAGAAGTTACAGAGAGAGAGATATTTGTAGATGGTTACGCTCTATTCATATGCCATTGCTAACTGGCTATTGAATACCAGTACCAAATGAACACCCATTGGCGATCAACAGACAGACGCGGGCAGAGAAACAGAAGCTCGTATATCTACTAGCACTACGCAGTTATATCTGCTCTGTAGAGCTAGCTAGCCGCCTCAGGGGCTATGCACCAATCCTGTCTCTCTCTACGGAGTATCTCATCTCTCGCTCTCATCTTTCTCTACCGCCTTCATCCTATGCCATTCGATATATATAAATGGGCCAAATAACTCCCGGATCCTCCTCGAGTAGTTACATGTACCTACTGCGCATTATCTAACTATATTAAATGGATGCATGACCCAACTGGTCAAGAAGCATGAATCCATGTCAACCCCGGTCTTGAGAAACAGAGCTAGAGCCATTCTTTTGATGATTGATGGATTATGAGATTATTGATTATTCCCTTGCTTCTCTCCCCGCTCCTCCTAGGATGTTTACTGCTGTCTTTGCCCATCACAGCGTGACTGCATCAATCTCCCCAACTAGGTACGAGCAGTTAAAAATTACTCTTTCTACCGACCGATTACGCCCAATCTACACCCTACCTCTCAAGTGTCCGAGCTACGAGCTGCCCAATAATAATAGCTAGATAGCTAGTCATGCATAATAGAATAACGACGAGGGCGGGGGGAGAAAATGGATTGAATAAATGAATGAAATAAAGGTTATATACTGTGCAATGCAGCAATAACATGGTTTGTCTAGTAGTCATTGATTAGTTTTTTTTTTTTTTTAAAAAAAAAAAAAAAAGGAAAGATTGCATAGATCATTCGCATATCTTTTTATTTTTCATGTTCATTTCCTTTTCATCCATCCTCCTTCCCATTGGGTTGGCCGTTCGGCCGTGTGTGTGCGTGCTTGAGAGGCTCCTGGCCTTCAGTTTCATGGAAAGAATGGAAAACCGACGTCGAAAATGACACCAAGCCATTGACTGCTCTTAAATCAGACAATGTCTGTTTGTGTTTCCATCTGTTGCGGGAAAATTGCCCCTTTTTCTTTGCAGTGCGACCTCTATAAGGAATGCATCAGTCCAATATCTAAATATGACCCTCGCTGCATTTGTTATTTTTTTTATTTTTATTTTTATTTTTATTTTTATTTTTTTTTATTCTGTGTTAACTTTAGCATAATTTCCCATCAACGCTGGTCTCTCCTCCGCTTACTCCGCCCTCAAGATTTACATTCGGCACAGCGTATGGCGGCGGCGACTTGCGAGCGCAGTCGTCGGGGGAACATCCAAGTTCACAGTGTGCAGAAATACTACTACTACTGCTGCTGCTGCTGCTGCTGCTGTTGCCCCCATCCCTTTCCAGCCGCATGAACTCATCAAAACTCATGCCATGCGCTTTCGCTGCCTGACACAGTCTCACAGAAGCGGAGTTTCTAGATGAAGTGTCTGATGAAGATTCTGAGTTCGAGGATGAGGCTATGGATTGGTTTCAGCATTTTTATACCGTAGGGAAAAAAAAAAAAAAAAAAAAAAAAAAGGCTGGTTCTTGGATAAAGGGAAATTTTTCTTACACTAGAATATAGGCGGTGCCACCTATGATGCTAAAAGTTCCTTCAACGACTGAGATGGAATGCATTGTCAGCATTAATTGATCGGCAATTTGATCCCCCTCTCCGTGCTCTTTTCGCCTGTGAACCAGAAATCCGGGAGGGTTCGCGATGGGAGGAGGAATTCAAGAGGAAGGACAGACCTAGAGCAAGCAGAGAGAACAGAGCGCACCTAGGGCATCCATGGAAAGAAGATCCAGCCTGTGCATAGCAGAGAGCCAATGAGAAACTTGCTGAAATACTAATGGGCCGGAAGGGGAGGCCATTGCAAGGGAGGAAAAGGAGTGAAGGCGGGCAGGGAGAACGAACTGATCTCAACAACTCGGCCCTGTCTCTTCCAGAGCTCGTAATAGATGGGAATGAACCCTATTATGATAAAGACCATGGCAAGAACACCGAATAAAATAGCGGGCCAAGTAACACCCTTATTATACGGAACCTGGATATATATGCATGCACGGCGACGGGTCCAGTTAGCACTCCTTGTCCTCGTCGCCGAAAAGAGGATTGAACATATTTTTTGACACAAAACAACATACCTGGAATGTAACAATAAATAGTGTTTCAGAACCTCCCAAAAACGCGGCAGCCATCACACCAGCTGCGATCGCTTCCCCCGAAGTGTAGCCGCTATAATTTTGAAGACATCTTAGAGATAGGTGCTGGTGTAGTGGTATATTACACTGGTGTTGGCTGGAAACAGGCGGCTCAATCTGACATACTGGCTATCCATGGATAGTACAAAACTTGTGCCCAGCAGATTGCACACAGGGCGCCGAACATCTGTGGCTGGATTTGTAAAGGAATATTCACGTGCTAGTTATAGTATAATGTTAGATAAATTTTCCTTATTTGTTTTCTTTTTTTCCCCCTCCCCTCTTGTTGGGACTTCTCTTCTTTTTGCGGTGACAATCTGACCCGAAACGATTCTTACCTCTTAAAACTAAATAAATATATACCCAAACATACAGCACCTGGCCATATTTTGAGGAATATCAGCAAAACCCAAACCCATTTATTTATTTACCCCTCCCTCTTTTTTCCTTTAGCTCCCAACCTTTACACACCCCTTGCCACGGTATCAACGCAGGATGGTGCCATTCGATAATTCAATATTGAAGACATCACGAGAAAAGCACGTACTTAAAGCCCATATAAACATCATGCTTGCGGGCAACCCTTCGGTATTTTATTTGTCCAGCTGTGCCATATATGGGGTATGAGTTGGATGCTCCAAAGCGCAGTGCCGATGGTTCCAAGAACATCGGCCACAGCGGGGATTTTCCCCATCTTCCGCCACCATCTGCATGATTCTTAAGGCCGTTAGAAAACGAAGGTCAAAAAATCCCGGCTTGTATTCTGTTCCCTGTTGAATGCGGCAGTTGGCAAAGACCTTTTCGGTTCTTCGGCAACGCAAACACGTTAGAAACGAGCTCAGGTATGAAAAATCACAATATAATCGGAATATACATAATATCGACCCCGGCCCTGGGGTTGGCCTGCAGACAGATAAACAAAAGCAAAGGCCACGCTTTTAGAAGTGATGCTCAAACGCTCTGTTCCATTGAGCTCCGTGACGTCAAGGATGGGATAGTACCAGCCAATAACAGAGAAAAGACTGATGTGGCTTCTGTGTGCATCGGGTGAAAGTGTGGTATGGTTATATATATAACTGCCATTGTTGAATTCAAAAGTTCTCCCATGGAGCGCCCAGCGCCAGCAGGAGACCGAGAGAGAAAAAAGGCCTCCGAAGGAGAGGGGCCGTTGATGGGAAATTTATTTATATATACATATATATAAAGATCATATTTTTTCGACTTTCATCAGCCATTTCCATCATGGATTCTTGAAGGATCATTCTCCCCGCCTTGGATGAGAAAATTGGTAACTCCCAAAGGTACCAACCAGTAGTCAGCCTGGACTGTGACGATAACACTATTCGACGAAAGAGGCGGAAACCGACAAGACAACGTAGCTTTTGAGCACCAGAGAAAACATTGGAAGGCCGAGAAATGAAACGGACGAGCAAGAAGCAAGAAGAAAAGATCACGGTTTGCAGAAGACTGGAACCTATAATCCACCAAATTTACCGCCAACAACGCTGTTCATTTAATGAGCAAGGTTTCATCACACAATTGATCATTGCGATGTATGTAATAGCAAGAGTAGAGTAGTAGTTGATCCATGGGTTATAAAAAGCCCCGTAATTCCTCTCTCTCTCACTGTGAAATGAGCTTCGAGCTCCAAACTTGAAAATTATTCTATTGCCGCTGGTCCGAGAACGGCGTTGTTGGGCTGGCCCCCAGAAGAACTAACGACTTGTAGTTAGTTCTCACCTCCACATATACATCCTTTTTATATAGAGAACAAGCTGGTGATGACTTTTGAATTCACACTCTGAACTTGTCTGTGCCCTGTCACTGGTCTTTTCATGGTTGTTGTGCATATCTCCCATCCCCATGTTTTGTGTCCAGCTTCAGAAAAAGCCTTGCTGCAGTGACCGGAATTCTCTACTTGTGTCGTTCTTCGACCCACAACGTTATCCATTCCAGCTTCCTGACTGCTTCCAGAAACACCGAGACCATCATCCTGTTACTTGCTCGCCAATCGGGGTAGTGGCCCCGAATCGTGGTTGATGGCTCGGCTGTCATGTGTCATGCATGGAACATATCGAGGTTACAAATCTTTTCTTTTTAAGGAACAAGACTTTGCCAGCCCGGCTGCAGGGAGTACTACAGGGCACTAAAGCTTGGTGACACAGGAATGTGTTTAGTATTAGATAGGCTTCGTGGGCGATAAAGGAAAAACCTTCGTGAAATATCTGTTACAGAACCAAATCGTCTGAACAGTGGAATGTTCGGAACCGACAGAGCTATGGTGAGTGACTCCAATGTCGTTTCCACAGCTTTTGCTATCCAGGTGAGTAAATATATATAATGTATGTATGTATGTATCAAAGGCAACAAAGTAGGGAGTTTAGCCATAGATAACTATCATAGTAACTAATAACAGTACAGTGACTAACTAAATAATAAATAGTAAAAATACGAACCAACATCATCATCATTATCATCATGACAAAAAGAAAACCACAAGATACGATCACGATCACGATTCGCTGCTTTTTTAATTTGTTTTTATTCTTTATTTCTTTCTTGCCTTTTTTTAAGCGAAGGGAGGGAATCACAGCATTATTGACGTTCAAAGAAATAGAAAAACAGAAATGAAGAAAAATTGGAAAGAATAGCATCCAGTGAGTTGAGCAAAGGACAACCCTTGAAGTAAGAGCTAGTGAGAGTATCGAATTGAGGAGGGAAAACGACAGGAAAGAAGAGAGAGAAAGAAAGCAGAGGAATGAGGGTATCATGAGAAAAAAAAGGGGGTTGTTGGGGGAGAAAGGAAAGAATTACAATGGAGGGAGGGGAAGATATCATTTGTTTTTCCCTTTCCCCACTGAAACTGACGATTGGGGGAAAAATGAATGACAATGATGGGAGAGACAAACCATTTAATCAATTAGCTTGACATATCACCGTTTCTTTCCATTTCTCTTTCTCTTTCTCTTCCTTGCCTTCCCTCTCCTTGTTTATCGCGCTGGCACGGGTTGAAGGAAAGAAAGAAGAGAAAGAGTTGTGGAGTAAATGGAGGGGGTAGTTCAGTTATGTGGGCTACGGTCATCTGGTGTTTGTTGGATATGGGTATGAGAAACAAGGGGAGGGAGGGAGAGAGTGAGCGAGATACATACACGTGAGACTGCATACACATACAACATACAAAAGAGAGCATAGTCATGCCACTGGAAAGGGAGAGAGAGAGAGAGAGAGGGAGAGAGAGAGAGAGAGAGAGTCAAAAAGAGAAGTTGAAAAAAAGATGGTAAGAAATGAAAATCATATATCCCTTTCCCTCCCCAAAATATAACCTTTTTTTTCATGAAAACGAACAAACGAAAAAAAAAAAAAAAAAAAAAAAAAAAAAGCTTTGAATGAAGAATGACAGGGACAAACAAAAGAAAACATCAGATGAATAATAAAAAAATAATATCGAATCGAATCGAATTGAATTGAGTACAAATAAAAATCGAGAATGGAAAATGGAAAATTGCAAGAAAATAAATAACTAAAGCATAAAAAGAACAAAGGAACCTATATCAGAATAAGGTAATTCGACGGCGCAATCCCCGTCTCCCCGCTCGCTTTCTTTGCCTGCCACCACCGCCCGCTCACATCCGACACATCAAGAATCTCATGCTTTGAGAAACTAATCTCATTCGCGTCGTCCGGGTTCGCTTCGTACGAGTATATGGCCTTGGCGCGGTACGGGTACACGGTTGGCTGGCTAACTTCGTTAGGAGTCGATGGGTGGTCGGCACCAAGAGTACTTCCACCGCCAAGATTACTCTGCGAGCCAATGGCGGGTCCGACAAAGCGGTTTTGGGTGCCATTTTCCGCGCCGTTGGCAGCGGTCGGGGGGTAGCCGGACACAGGGGAGGAGGTTTCGAAGCCGTTGAGTTGGGCGGAGGTATACATCTGGGGGGGTTGGTTACCAGAGACAACCGTCTCTGGCCGCGCACCGTAGTTGGTGGACAGAGGCTTGCTGTTGCGATAGGAGGGGTGTTCCTTGCCGGCACCCATCGAGTCAAGGTAAGGACGGGATGAGGTCTGGCTGGAGGATCCGAAGTAGAATATCCAGACGATCTGTGTGGATTACCTGCGTGTTAGGGATAATGATACTCTTTGCAATAGTAAAGTACATGAGGGGATGAACTAAAGAAATGATATGTACGTACAGTAACCATGGATTGGAGAATGAATCCTGCAGCACCAGCCTGCTTGGAGGCCTGATCGTCATAGATCAGCGAATTGACGGCAAGCGTTGTAAAAGTCAAGCCCGCAGCGAGATAACCGACGATCTAGTAGTTTCGACAATGCATTATTAGCTGGCATCTGGCATAGGAAGAGGAGTGAGTGGTGGGCAGGAGGGGCCAATACCGCGACACCGTAAACATGGCTTGTTTGAGATGCCAGGACCAAGGAAATACCGATGATAGCACAGAGCATATACCCAACGGCCCACCATGCGAAGTTAGGGAAAGCGCCTTGGATATCTGAGATCACACACGTGGCGAAGGATAATAGCCATGCTATCTACGTTTTCGACGAGAAACGAGTCGTTAGCATTTCGAATCCAAATCCAACTGACACTGGAAAGACTTATCATCCTCCTACGAACACCCCAAGGGAAGAGAAGCCGAGAGAAGCTGGAGGATAACAAGAGGGGTAAAAAAAAAAAAAAAAAAAAAAAAAAAAAAAAAAAAACAGAGATGTAACAATACCAGGGATGTTGAAATCGTTACCAGGGCGAAGGGATCGCCAACAATATTATTGAAATCCATGCGAGCCATGTTGGATCGCCGAATTGTGGACAGCAAACGGGGACCGTTTCTGAAAGGAAGTCGAGTAGTTCGCGGAGTAGGTTACCATGCAAGGACGAGAACCGCCTGCTGGTGGTATGATAAAAACAAATTCAATAACAAGAACCCAAGCCCAAGTGTGGATTTTCGTGCCAATGGAGGAGAATGGGTGGTGGATAAGGGAGCGTTGAACGAGGCTAGGGAGTTTTTGAATAATTTCCACACGAGGACCACAAGTTATTCGATCGATCACAGGGAGGGAAAAGGAATACGTGATCGAGGGCGTCGAAGGGGGAAGAAAGGGCAAATGCGATGCGATGATGAAATTGTTGGTGTAGTGATCGATAGCTATCGTATGTTCTGCTCCTCTACTTCCTCTCTATTTCCTGAGTTGTGATTGTGATTTTGGTGGTGGTGGTGGTGGTGTCGCGCGAGGTCGTGCGAAGGGGCAGTATAAAGAGGTACGATCAGGGCTGTGTTTATGTTATGGAACGATGACCGAGCGGGCTGTCCCAAGGATTAGTTGAAGGACGGGGGACGAATGACAGCCACGAAACGGTTTGTGGTTCACAATTCACCAATCCACGATGCGACCACGATGGAAGATGTTTGGAGGGCGAAGACGACTAAGACGACTGACGATGGGCGTATACAGAGTGGTTAAATATTCAGTGGATGAGATGGATTTGTCGTGGGAAAAGAGGATGGCCTCAAAGGGGGGCGGAGTGGAGGCGGAAGGCCAACCGCTGGGAGAGAAGAGGAGGTGTTGAAAGAAGGGTCAAGCACCAGGCTCGCGGGAGAATGGAACGGAAGCAGAGAGGAGGAGGAGAAGAAAAAGAAGAAAGGGAAGAAGAATCAAACAAGGGTCTACAAAAGAGTGAATAAGCAAGCAGCAGAGGGATTGCCAGACCAAGAAGAGAAGCGAAGGAATGAAGCGGCCCAGAGAAGAGGATGGCGAGATGCAGCGACGCAGCAGAGGAGGAGTTTGGTGGAGTTGAGGATTGTGGAGGAGGAGAGAAGGAGAGAGTCGGTAACGGAGTAGTGGGTGGCAGAGGGCAGTTTGATGGGGGACTTGGGGAAATTGGCAGATTCGCTGGGCACGACAAACCAAGGCCCGGACTGGGTTCCTGGGGACTGGGTTCCTGGGCCTGGCTGCGGGTCTGGGCTCGCCAGCTGGTCCGGCCATTTACGATGCTTATGACTAAACTTATTCATTTAGTTATATTATTGATTAGGCGACATGGGATGGCTCTCATCCATCTCTCGGGCGCTGGAGAAACATTACACACAAGTCATCATCAGTCACTCAACCCCGGAGTCTACATTTGATAGAGAATGTCGCCAGGGTGAGTGAGTGAGTGGCCGCCGTTTGCCTGTCTCCTCCAACCTGGTCTCGGCTCGTTTCACATGTCGCCCTCCCTCCCTATTTCCCTATTCGCGTCGTCTGCCCAGCGCCCATCAGCAAGTTTCCGAGCGATGGACACACACAAACACACAGGTACGTGGTGAACAAGAAAGGAAACTGGGCTAGGAATTCTGATATCGACATAAAACTGGCAGAGAGAAAAGGGGGGATATACAACAGGGAAATGGACAACCAACTATGTAGTAGTACTGTACATTATTATTCTTTTTTTAACCTTTTTATTTTTCAAACTGTTCGATCTGTGGTTCCACCCTCACTTTCCAGACGCTGGCCGACACTGGTGTCTGGACAGCCAACAATTGGACCAACCCCTGAAGCAACCAAAACCATTCCATTCTTCCTGTGGATGGATGGAGATACCTGGGTGTCTATGTGTTATATATATATATACATATATGCTTTGTAGAGATGCACACCCAGCGGTCCAAGTGGGTGAGTGACTACGGCAGTGCCCCTCCTCTCTAGAGGGTTCAGTTTTCGATGGGGCCGATGCGATGCGATGCCATGCACTGATCGCCATCGATGATGCGATAACTTTTCCAGAAATGTTAGCTGAGAGTCGAACGGTTCTCTCCAGTTCAATCGAAAAGATAAAACTTCTTGTTATTTCTTGTTATTCCTTCGAACGGCAAAAAAGGAATACATAACCTTCCTTGGTCATATATATGTTGTGTGGTGCGGGATGATATTTCACGTCAATGCAATATTCTATGTGAGATATCCCCTCCAAAATTAGGCACAGGGTTGAAACTAAACTTGGTGGCGGTAGGGCTACCTTCGTCCAAGATTCCAAGGTTCCTCTTAATGTGCCGAATCAGGGATTAGGAAAACAATAAATAAGGAAATAGGGAAATAAATAAACATATGCCAGGTTCTATTCTTCAAAACCTGTATTCCGGGACAAATTTTTGAAAAAATAATCAGACAGACAGCCAGAAAGCCAGCCTTACGCCGCGTATTAGGGAAAACAGATGCATGGATGATTCATTAGTTACTTGCACATGCCCATGTCCATTGGACGTACGGCGTATAACTAACCAAGGCTAGCACAGTATGTATGACATCTCCTAGGCGGGTGACTTTGGAATGCAACGAGCCCTTTCATTCTTTTTTCCTTACCTTTGCTTTTCTTTGCTTTTCTTTTCAACCTTCTCGTTCCTGACCTTGGGTTTCCAAAAGTCAATTTCACCCCATGTACAGATTATCCTCCGTCCAGATCATCTCCGCCACGCCCAGGGGGGCCCCGTTTTGGAAAAAGTGGATCCGGCTCAATCAAAAGTCATCATCAAGCCTTTACCCCGTCTAAAATATACCCACTAATCTCCATCTCACCTCCACTGCTAATACGCCTCGGGAGGAGCTGGACCTCTTTGAATGAATAGCTGCCTCGCATTTTAGAGAACTGCGCCTCCTACCTGATCCCGGTGGGGAGGAAGGTTGAAACGTGGACGAATGTTCAAGGCAGCCACAGGGTTTTCATGGTAGTTGCCACATGCAATACTTGGAGTGCACACAACTGTTTTTGTGGCCCTCTGAAAACTTGACCAAGACCACTTCAACTGTGGAGAACTTCTGCTGTTGTAGTGGGACAGGACATGGACCCGCTGAATTCGTCAACTGCAAACTGCAAGGGAGATCCTTGATGAATGCCCTGACACAAAGTCTCAGGTAACTAGAAGAAGGCCTTGAGAGAAAAAAGAAAGGATGCGAACCGAGGATTAGTTATATAGCTAAGTTGGTGAAAGGCGGGGAGAGAAAGGAAGAAACAGATATGGGGGACTTGATCCTCTGCTCACCAGACGTTGTTGTCATTTGCCCGGCTGGTTCGGACCATTCCTTCGTCCCTTCATCACAAAGCCAACTCGACACAGGGCGCGCAAGCTACACCCAGAATGCCATGCCATGAGGACCGTTCGGAGCGTTTCTTCTGGATGCAGGTTAATCTCACCTACTCGCTGTCTACCCTTCTATTGGGGACAATAGCTTGGAAGCGCGACGTTAATATATCATCTGCCGCTTCCCCCTCTGGTCGATGGCTCTGGGAATGAGGGCCCAGCAATTTGGCCGTCTGTATGTCAAGTTTGATAAATATCCCGAAAAGACACCCTTGCGGCTCTGCTCTTCAGATGATCCAGGCGCTGTATGATCGTTGGAGGCAGGATGCGCCGGGAATCATACAGAGCTCTCCATTCGATACGAATGCGTCTGTTGCCCGCCGTGACCGAAGCGAAATGTGCCTCATCTCTCTCTCTCTCTCTCTCTGTCTCTTTCCAAAATTGGGAGAGAGCAGAATGCCATTCGTTTACACACACAATCTTTGACCTTGTGCCCTCTCTCCCCAGAGACGAACACATTACATTACAGACCTACGGCGTAGACTTGGAACTCGAATAGATATACTGCTGGATACTCCTGCTCAACACCCCCAGGGCTGAATCGGTAAATGGGAATTATGCCTTCGGTTCTCCATCATTCATTCCCGTTTCTATACTATATTTGCTGCAGTGCCGTTGTCCGGAAGCCTTCCGATCCAGAAGGGTTATCAATTGATACTAGTTGATACCACCAGGCTCTGCACATGGCTCTTGTATGCGTAGGGTTTTTTTTTTTTTTTTTTTTTTCGTTGTTTGAAAAAAAAAAAAAAAAAAAGAAAAGAAAAGAAAAGAAAGAAAGAAAAAGAAAAGCAGACCCCGCCCTGTGTTGTCTAGGATGAATAACTGAATGACCGTCTAGAGAGATTCATAGGTCCATAATAATCTACAATAACAATGAGATTAAGATGATATGTTTAAAAAAAAAAAAAAAAAAAAAAAAAAAAAAAAAAAAAATGCTACCTGTAAACTACCGCGCAACTCCCATAACCCAAAACAAAGCAACAGGAACAAACAACACAAAACGAGAAAGATAGAGAAAGAAAATAACCATCCAAGAACTATCTATACCCTTCCCCGGACCCCAACAGGCTACACAGACCCCATTTTATTCCTCCCTCCTCCCCTCCAATCTCCTAACCGCCCTCTCCACCTTCTCAATCCTCCCCTCCCACTCCGCCCAAACCTCACTACCGCCCAAAACCCCAACTTCCACCCACCGCTTCGCCACCAGCGCACTACGCGCTCGCAGCTCCGCTATCTCCGCTGCCTGCTGTTCCTGCACCGCTGCCAATCGGTCCAGACGTGGCTGTAGCTCTATCAGTGATGCCGAGAGGGACGCGGGCGGGATGGGCAGGTCTTTGAGGGAGGTTAGGCGGGAGGCAGTTTCGGGGAAGGCAGAGGCGTAGGAGAGGATTATGGAAGTTAGGGCTTGCTGGGAGAGCGTGCTGGGGATTGCCGGGGGTTGGGGTGAGGAAGAGGAAGACGAAGAGGTGGTGGTGGTGATGGGGGTTGGATTGATTGGAAGAGGTCTGGGAAGCGGGAGTCTGTAGAGAGATTAGCTGTGGTGGCTTTGTAGCGGACTAGGATAAAAAACAAAAGGTCTTGGCTATAGAAAAGATGCAGAAGATAGAAAAAGCCAAATATGGAGCAAGTCGGTGCCCAGCGGATACATACAGAGTGCCAGAACATCCCTCACAGCCGGCACTTTATTCGCCAGCACCTTCAACTCATACTCCAGCTTGGCCAGCTGCGTCATCGCCGGCTTCTCACCGTCGCCAACACCCGTCGCTGTTGTTAGCCGCCGTGGCTCCCCTGTCCAGCTCGACTCGCCCGACAACAGGTACTCAATCCTGCGTAACCGCGACTCTAACAGCTCGATGGTGTCTGCTGCCGTTTCCACCGACGTAGGCATGGATGTGGGCGTAGATGTAGATATTGGTTTCGCCATGAATGCGGCGGTGGATGTGGATCCGAATTGTGTGCTATAGGAAAAGAGTGATAGAGCGTGTCAAGGTTATCCTTCCATTCAAACGTGTTATGACTCCTTGTTGTTGTCCCAGTCGCTGTCTGGAGAGGTCGCTCGTCATGTGTTGACTGGGTTATTTTTGAGGATATAGGAGAAGTCGGTGAGGGTAGATCATCCATCCATAGATTCCAGAATTTGCGTATTTGTCTGTTTATTGAGTTTCTGGGCTCGTTCTTCTGGTTTCGTGATTTTTTGTTGGATGAGGGAAACAAACATGAGATGAGAGCTTTGGAAGGAGGTAAAGGTTTATCCGGCGTCCATTCCTCTTCGGTAAATGTCGACACCGACCAGCAGATGGTGTAATTGGAAATAAAAATCGATATAATAGGCAGAAAATAGCCGATTTGATACACTTTGAGCAGTCGTGTGTAATTTGATATTTGTGCCTTTTGTTGTAACTATGTGACAAAAGTGGAGATTACGGACTGCGGAGAGGTAGGACATCGTCTTTGACAAACAAAACAAACATAGTCAGGTCAAATGCCCCTTAAGACTTGGCAGTCAGGATCCAGGGGCTGCTCGATAGATTCTTTGAAAACGTGCACGACAGGCAAGTGACGACGAAGAATGCTTCGACAACTACTCAACGACGTTAGAAATCCGAAAGTAATGCTCTCCTTCGACGTAATAATAACCATGCTAGCGTAGATCTATGAATATGAACAATTCAGATGCGATGTGTGATGCGACATAGCGTCTACTCATAAGGTCAATAATATCCTCATAAAGCTGAGATCGGGGCAAAAAAAATTTGAAAAAAGATGGAAAATGGCTTCTTCTCTTTCTCTCTACGTCTCCATATCAGCTCATCTCGATATTTTCAAATGTCGTTATTAGCTGCCCAATACAGATGGCCATCCGAATCCCCATCCTCCCATCCTCACACACTCAGGCAGTATGGCTAGGGGGCATATTGACCTCCACCTCGATATTCTCAGGACCGTGCTCACAGCGACTACCACCACCCTCACCACCATCACCAACCTCCTCTCGAATATTCCCCATAGAACCAGAAGGTTGTGTCGAGCACCTCACCCGACCGCTTCCACTCACACTACCATGGCCTAAAATCGCGCTTCCCCCACTGCCAACCCCTCTTTCCTGCATCTCCGGCTCCTTGTCCTCCATCTCACTAGGCGGTGTGTCCGGGAATGATGAAACTTCATAGTCGAACACATTTGTCGTGCTGGCGCTGAGCGCAGTACTTTCTGTGCGGAGGCTAGCGGGGATTTGATCATCCCAAGATCTCTGTTCCTTGTGACGTCTATTTCCAGTAGAATTATTTCGACCTGCTTGTTTGGTTCCAACGGGTCCCTCTCTTGATGTTAATGGTGAGGATAATGTGGGTACGTGTTGCGGCTCTACAACTTTCCTGGATGTTTGTCCGTGAATACTCGAAGTCTCCTCGGCCCTGCTGCCCAGCGGTTCAAGTTCAGGCCACGAACTTTCGCTAACTCTTGCAACTTCTTCTTCGGCTTGTTCTTGAAGCTTTTGAGAAACTTCCTCTCTTTCACTTTCGAAGAATTTGTTGTCCGCGTCGACAAATTCCTGTAAAATTTTGGTGTCAGGAAGGCAATTTTAAAACATATACAACATACGGGGTTAAAATAAAACTCAAAAAGTTCACACCTGTAATGGCGGCGGAAGCGGACCCTCCTTGAAATTGACCGCATTCTCATTCGCGTATACAAGCAGCACAGAACGGCCCTCTTCCTTAGCGGCGCGGAGGACCTCTATTTCTCTGACGGGCCGTACAGTATAACCGGCGACATCCATGTTGGCAGGTAAAGGAACCCTCGGATTCCTTTGTTGCGGGGCGATACCTGAATTTCGATGTAATGAAGGTACCACTGGAGTCTGTGTGGCTTCTGCATGTCGAGCATTGGCGTCATCAACTGAGAAGCTGATTCGCCACCACTGCCACTCATCATGGGCTGAGCTTACGGAGATGGGTCCCTCAGTCATTTCGACGTTATTTTCGCGTCGTCTTAATACGTATGTGACATGAGGATGGGTGCAAACTCCCCGCAATGTGTACTTTCTATGCGGTGGCTTAGCTGGGTCATTAGATGCGGTGGTAAGCTCCTTCGAATACCGTCTCAACGACTCCAGGGCTTGGGATTTTCGCTCCTCCAGGGCTATTTAATTGTATTAGTAAAGCGGCTAACAGGTTTAGAAAAAGGTGGGAATATTCCTCACATTTTAGCTTCTGATCGATTTTTTCAGTGAGAGCTTTTAACTCATTAGCGAGATCCATAACCGCTTCATGCGACACGATGGTCCGTTCTTCCACATCTGGATCCTCAAGAGACCCGTTTACGAGGTGGTTCCGCGAGGCAACTTGTAACGCATTAACTGCCAAATCAAAGGTATTCTTGATCTGGGAGGTCGAATGACCAATCTTTGGTGTCGAGAACCGTTGCATTAAATGCTGTAGCTTATCGATCTCCAGGCTGGTTTCGATTCTACGTTTGCGAATATTGCGCGAGATGTCCCTGCACGCCTCCATATACCTGTCTGGATACCACACAGCAGGGATCTTAACATCAACGGATTTCTGCGGGTCCGTAGAGTTCAGCCGTAGGGAAAACACTTCACCGATACGATCTATCCATATATCGTCAAGTTCTGAATCCGGTGAATCTTGCCACATGGAAACATCGATAGCATCGTACAGCGTTTCCACGAGATCCGAGTGAACGGGGAGTTCCAATGCCAAAAATTCTTTATCAATTGGTTCTTCATCCACAGAAAACGGTCGTTTATAGGCTAATGATGAGAATATAGTAGCTAGCTGGTTATCCGGCGTGGCTGCAACGGCAGACCTTTGCCACGATTCCAAAAATTGGCCAACATTGTATTCAGTACTCCAGCTCTGAATAGATTTAAGATTGGCAAGGGCATCGATACTTCCAAAAGCGCGATGTGTGCCATCCAAAAAAGCCATAAGTCTCTGTACTTCAACTAGAACGTCATCGTGCACACTATCGTCCATATAGCCATCATCGGCGAATGTCACTAAGCTAGGAAGGTCAATAGGTTGTCCATTCCACCACTGCGGGTCACTGCCATAGTCATCAATGACTCTGTCCCTAAGGAGCAGAGCTTCCCTCGCTAGCGGGATTGCATGGATAATGGTAAGAAAACCCGCTAGGTAATCTGCCTCTTCAGAGGGGCGAAGAAAAACAGGCTCGTCATTGACCCTCTTCCGTTCCTCCGGATCTGGATGGATACATACTTCTCGGGTCGCGGGCTCGAGCAGTGTTAAAGCCCATGCAGTTTCGTCGTAATGATTCTGGGTTGCCGGCGCCAGCTTCGTCTGATTTGTGCTGATAACACCGGTTTCCTGACTGCCATCATCGATGGAAATGTCGCCATTTCCACCAAGCTCCGCATTCAGAGACAGTGCCACTGCCCTTTGCAATTCGTGCTCCTCCTGCTCTGCAAGAGACATATGCTGACTTGGACTCGCTCCCACTGTAACTGTGGTTAGAAACCTTGATCAAATTCGGGCCAACAATGAGCTTCTCGACAACTTACCACCAGGCTTATTCGCCGGACCTTCGATCGGCTGGCCTACTTTAGCTTCCTCAGTGTGTTCGTAAGAGCCTATTCTCGACGGGGGTCGTGATGGCGCTGTTCCATATCCAACGGGGTGAACGGGATCGGAGTCGATTCTAAATGCTAGCAACGTACATCAGTATGTGCTTACCATCACCTTACTAGGAGCACGTAGCTCATCTTTTGGAAAAAGCAGTCATATGAACTCACAAGGTGCGTTTTGATTCTTATACCCATATCCTTCATTTTGACTAGAAGGTGGCATAGGCCAGGATACGGAAGGCTAAATCAGAGCATCAGGTCAGCGAATTAGGTTTGATTCAAGTACAAGTTCCAAAGGTCGCAGCATATATGTAGGTTGCTCACTTCGGGTTGAACACTATCCGGGTTTTCGAAGTAGGCATTGATAGCTCTGTTGGAATCGCGGTTATTGGCCTAGAATTATCAAGCAATGACATGGGCCGTATACTGTTAGCGACGATTATCCATATAAAATAAAACGCCCGTTTAGAGGAGTAACGTAAACAAAACATCGCAAGCAAAAGCCAAAGAAACGTTGGGACAGCAGCCCTGAAATCCTTTGTACCTACTTCGAGAAAAGCTATAGCCTTCTCGCGCGAGGCATTTGTGAAAGATATAAAGTTCTCGATCGCATCTTCAGGAATATCGTAAGAGGTCATCATCTCGGCCATTGGCATTCTACCCAGTAGCTGAGGCGGTGATACTTTCGGAACGTCACTCCGGAGTGACTAGGGTTTGCTGCTGGTGGAAAAGTAGTTGGCGGGTTGCTTCTGCGGCGGCCGAAGTGTGCGGGGGAGGTTCAAGGCCAAGGTCAACAGTCGAGCCAAACCCTGAGGTCCCAGCGGCGGGGCGGTCAGCGGTTTGGGGGACTTAATAAAAGCCAATAAGCATACGCTTTATCTTCCTCATGGGGGTATTGTCCGTTTGTTGCGCAGTGTGCGTTGGCCTGGCTTGGCTTTGGGGT